GTGCAATACGTTTTGTGCAATACTTTTGTAAATAGTCAACAGTGCAATAGACTCAAAACTCGAAATGTGCAATTCATTCACTTGTATTTTTATTTTTTATTCCTATTTATTCTATTTATCCCCTTCGTATATTTTATTTATATTGTCTCTGTATTTATATATGTGTGTGTGTGTGTGTGTGTGTGTGTGTGTGTGTGTGTGTGTGTGTGTGTGTGTGTGTGTATATATATATATATATATATATATATATATATATATATACACACCCAGCACGCCCCTGCGGGCGGTTTATCCTTCAAGCTCGGGTCCTCTACCAGAGGCCTGGGAGCTTGAGGGTCCTGCGCAGTATCTTAGCTGTTCCCAGGACTGCGCTCTTCTGGACAGAGATCTCCGATGTTGTTCCCGGGATCTGCTGGAGCCACTCGCCTATTTTGGGAGTCACCGCACCTAGTGCTCCAATTACCACGGGGACCACCGTTACCTTCACCCTCCACATCCTCTCGAGCTCTTCTCTGAGCCCTTGGTATTTCTCCAGCTTCTCGTGTTCCTTCTTCCTGATATTGCTGTCATTCGGAACCGCTACATCGATCACTACGGCCGTCTTCTTCTGTTTGTCTACCACCACTATGTCCGGTTGGTTAGCCACCACCATTTTGTCCGTCTGTATCTGGAAGTCCCACAGGATCTTAGCTCGGTCATTCTCCACCACCCTTGGGGGCATCTCCCATTTTGACCTCGGGACTTCCAGGTTATACTCAGCACAGATGTTCCTGTACACTATGCCGGCCACTTGGTTATGGCGTTCCATGTATGCCTTGCCTGCTAGCATCTTGCACCCTGCTGTTATGTGCTGGATTGTCTCTGGGGCATCTTTACACAGCCTGCACCTGGGGTCTTGCCTGGTGTGATAGACCCCAGCCTCTATGGATCTTCTGCTCAGAGCTTGTTCTTGTGCTGCCATGATTAGTGCCTCTGTGCTGTCTTTCAGTCCAGCTTTGTCCAGCCACTGGTAGGATTTCTGGATATCAGCCACCTCCGCCAAGAGTGAACGATGTCTCGTTCACTTTTACCATACAGCTTGATGTCATCCATGTACAGGAGGTGGCTGACAACTGCTCCGTTCCGTAGTCGGTATCCGTAGCCAGTCTTGTTAATGATCTCACTGAGGGGGTTCAAGCCTATGCAGAACAGCAGTGGGGACAGAGCATCTCCTTGGTAGATCCCGCACTTGATGGTGACTTGTGCTATGGGCTTGGAGTTGGCCTCTAGTGTTGTACGCCACATCCCCATTGAGTTCCTGATGAAGGCTCTTAGGGTCCCATTGATCTTGTACAATTCTAGGCATTCCAGTATCCAGCTGTGGGGCATTGAGTCATAGGCCTTCTTGTAATCAATCCAGGCAGTGCACAGGTTGGTCAGTCTGGTCTTGCAGTCTCGGCTGATTGTTCTGTCTACCAGTAGCTGGTGTTTTGCGCCTCTGGTATTCTTGCCAATTCCTTTCTGTGTCCCGCTCATGTATTGACCCATGTGCCTGTTCATCTTAGCCGATATGATGCCTGACAGGAGCTTCCATGTAGTACTGAGGCAGGTTATTGGTCGGTAGTTGGAGGGGACCGGTCCCTTCTTGGGGTCCTTGGGGATCAGGACCGTCCGGCCTTCAGTTAGCCATTCCGGGTGTATCTCGTTAACTAGCAGCTGGTTCATTTGTGCTGCCAGACGCTCGTGGAGTGCAGTTAGCTTCTTCAGCCAGTAGGCGTGAACCATGTCGGGCCCTGGTGCTGTCCAACTCTTCATACTGGAGACCCTTTCTTGGATATCTGCCACTGTGATGGTTACTGGACCCTGTTCAGGGAGGTCGCTGTGGACTGCCCTCAGATCCTCTAGCCACTGAGCATTGCCGTTATGGGTTGCATCCTTCTCCCATATGCTCTTCCAGTATTGCTCCGTCTCCAGCCTTGGTGGTGCTGTTCTCTTATTGTTCCCTTGCCACTGAGAGTACACCTTTGCTGGTTCTGTGGAGAACAGCTGGTTTATTCTCCTGCCTTGTATCTCTCTGGTGTACCTGTCACATGTGGAGGGTACACCAGATATATATATATATATATATATATATATATATATATAATATTCTGTAACTCTGGAACTTCTGTCGGTGCTGTGCTTTTTGGAAATCGAATTTCCCAGAGGAACCCACCCGAGGGATTAATAAAGTTCTATCTAATCTAATCTAATCTAATCATCTGCACATTTTGTCCAGCTGTCAGGCCTCATGCTGTCAGAAGGACTGACAGACTTCAGGATTCGTTGGAGGAAAGTCCAGAGTTACCATGACGACCAGTCAAAGAAGCAGGATGTGGACGGTGGCTGCAAAACTGAAGACTGACTGGACTGAACCACTTCATGTGTGAAGTTAATAACATGCTGTGCTGAGCTGTCTCATCCTTTGAATCTTTCAATATTTCAGAGTGTAAAGTTCCACCAACAGCTCATTTGTTCAGCTGCAGTTGTAGTTTGGTAGAAATTCTTTAATCAGAGGTCCACTCACTAGTTTTCCTGACAGGCTCTAGTCTCTTGCTTTGTTTTGCAGTGTCTCTTTCAATACTTTCAGACACTGTCCTTCTGTGGACGTCACTGCACAGGCTTTGTCTGTGTGCAGTTTATTAGGATCCATAGTTCTGTTTCATCTGACAGCAACCTCTGCTGACTTACACAAATGATAGAGAAGAAAGTGAGGAGAGCCAGAGATCTGATTGAGGAGGTCAGGGGGGACAACAAAACATTGTACTGTTTATGTCCTGTTTCTACTTCTATTGTTTAATAACTGTAACAGCCATGAATTCAGTTCAATTCATTTCAATTCAATTTTACTTCTATAGCACCAAAATAAGTCACATCGATGTGCTTTATATTGTAAAGTAGACCCTACAATAATAAATTCAGAGAAAAAAAAACAACAATCATATGACCCCCTATGAGCAAGCACTTTGGCAACAGTGGGAAGGAAAAACTCCCTTTTAACAGGAAAAAACCTCCGACAGAACCAGGCTCAGGGAGGGGCGGGGCCCTAGTAAGAACTGCAGGTGGTGGGTAAAGTTTGTGCTGGTATTGCCATAGTTACTGTTGTGGTCTTAGTTTTGACTTGTATTTTCGCCTGTGTTGACATGTTTGTCTACTTTTGTTTTTGTAGCTTTCAGCTTTCTTCATGATATATTGTTACGTTTCGGTGTGTCAGTGTTTTGTTTTTGCATGACTTATGTATTTCCTGCTTTACTTTGAAAGTCTGTGTTATCTTAGTGTGTTCAGTTTTCATTTTCCCTGTCTCGTCAGTTCTAATTTGCCCCAGCTGTGTTTCCCTCCTGTGGTCCATTTCCTGATTGCTCCCTCTATGTATTTAAACCCTGTGTTTCAGTGTGTCATGGTCGCGATCTCCCCCGTGTTGTAAATAGTTTGGGGTTTTGTTGTAAATAAATAGTCTGTTGTAAATAGTTGTGAATGGGTTTGTTAATACTTTCGTCATGGGATATTTTCGTTTTGGGATTTTGGTGGAGAGCCTTCGTGGTTTTATTTTCCTTATCTTTGTTTTTCTACGTTGCACCCCGGTTGCCTAGGCCGGGGTGTAACAATATTTGAAAGGGTTTTAATGTGTTCTGTGGTTTCATTCATGTTTTTGTGTTACAAATAATACACAGCTATTTGGGTTGAAAATGATAAATCCATGTAGACAGGTATAGAAAAAGTAATACAAAATGAGAGAGATATATTAAAATAGTAAGTGAACAGAACGGTTTAACCATTATTTATTGCCTTTTATAGATTAATTTCTTATTTAATATTATAATTTGACTTCAACAAATTTATATTTTGCCAATATTGACATCTTTGTTTGTTTCATTAGCTTAGCTGGAGTGAACACATGAAAATAATTTAATTTTATTCATTTGAACTTAATTTGTGGTGTAGGTAATTTGATTGTACTTTTCTGTTAATAAATGAATGAGTTATTTGTGTGTTTTGACACTGAGTGATAAATCAGGTGAAATTGCTACAGATCCATGAAAGTAAAGCTAGTTTGACACTGAAGCTTTTTTGTTTCTTTGGTTTTGTATGCGTCTGTGTAAGTTTGAGGTCCATGTCAAAATCACAGGCATTCAAATGTAAAGGGCCTTAAGTTATATGTTAGTTATGAGAATATTCATGAGTGTTGCGCTTATGCTTTATTGTAGAGTTTTGTTAATAGATCACTTTTCACCAATGGTAGTAAAAGTTCCAATCTCAGCGTCCCTGCTCAGACATGATTTACTTATTTACACCCAGGAGAAAGACCTGGGTGTAATTAGCTAACTTGTACTACTTGTTAAGTTACTTTGATGTTACTCTGTAAAATGATCTGAAACACGCCGTCTCATAATAAAAACCTGAGGCTACAGCCCTACACACCAACAAATCCCTCTCCTAATGAGGACACGTGATCTTTCTCTGTTAGGTATGAACACAAAGCAAAGAAGGTGTGGCTGGAGTGTATCCCAGCTACGATGGGGCGAGATGCATGGTACACGCTGGAAAGGGCGCCATCCCGTCACTGGTTTAACACGGGGTGTCGAACTCCAGGCCTCAGGGGCCAGTGTCCTGCAGGTTTTAGATAACGCCCTGGGTCAACACACCTGAATCAAATGATTAGTTCATTACCAGGCTTCTGGAGAACTTGAAGACATGTTGAGGCGGTTATTTACCTTTAAATCAGCGGTGTTGTATCAAGGACACATCTAAAACCTGCAGGACACCGGCCCTCGAGGCCTAGAGTTCGACACCGGTGGTTTAAAACATAAAGACAAACAACTATCCAGGTTTTAGGTTTAGAAAAGAACCGGTTCTGTTCGCTGTGAAATAACATAACTTAACTGGAATAAATTTAAAAACTTTGCGGAATCCCACAAAACACGCCTTTTGCTTTAATGTCCCATGCGGAGATCCGTAGGATATGAGCGCCCCACGTGACCGCTTACAGCAAACCTCAGCAGAGCAGCGACAGCGGGAGAAGAGTTGCGCGTGCGCAGACGTGGCTGCCGTCCTATGAAGCAGACCGAGCTCAAGTATCGCTCCTGTTCCTGTCGATCAAACACCAATAACACAGCGTCGCTGTCGCTTCTATCGACCCGCAGCAGCTGAAGCAGCCATGTGTTCAGCTGAGTCTCTGAGAGAGTTCATACAGGAGAGGCTGGCTGCTGTTTGCCAACAAATCTTCTGCGAGGTTCAGAAAACCATCGTCCAGTATGAGGAGGAGATCCAGCGTCAGCGCAGACTGCTGGATATCAGCCGGAGACCCGACACACACTCACACGGCTCAGGTACGGACACGTGTGCTGAGCTCAGGTTCCTCTCTGTTGATGAAGACATGAAAGCTCGTCAGCGTCTCCGGGATTTCTCTGATGTTAGCTGGGAGCAGAAAGCTGTTACCTTGGTGATTAATTTTATTTCAGAGTCTAATTTGTGTAAAATATCAGACACTGGGCATCAGCTAAAGACTGCAGTCAGGTGTGTTTGGCTGTTTTTCACAGTCGTACTGAAACAATCAGTGCAGTTTGAGTTCATCTGTGAGATTATTGTTTAGCAGGAGTAAAACCCTGAAAAGAAATAAACGCCTTGATGCTGATAAAGCAGCGAGTTTAAGGCCAGCATGTAGTTCAGGTTTTTAAGTCTTGAGCTGCCCCTGATTTCCTCATATTTTGGTAAACATAAATAAAATATGTGACTTGAGGGAGGTATCTATTTCAATAGGATGGAGCTGCAGCGTATATGCAGCTGTAAGTATATAGTCAGTTCCCCTAACTGGGCAAAACACTATAAAAAGGAAATTCATCATTGTTGTCTCCACCCAAGCTCACCACCACGGTGCATGCAAAAGTGGCAAGAAAAAGATGAGTTTCCGTGCAGCGCCTTCGCTGTCTGCAACGATATATTAAAAAAATTAAAGTAAACCACTCTCAACTACAATCAGTACACACATTGGAGCCTACTGATACAATGAAGAAAAACAACAAACAAATAAACAAAACAACATCGACAGCCACAGCTGTCACAATAATCTTCAGCTCTTTGCAGTCGAGTTAAACCAGTCTAAAACAAATTAAAACAAACACTGGTGTTTCGGGACTTCGGCCTGCAGCCAAAAATCCATCCAGGCAAAGCTGCAGCATCTTGGCAATCTGTAAATGAAAACAGGACATCACTTACACTGAACAGTTGACCACAGCAGGAATATCCCTATTCACAAGTTAGGGTCACACCCTAATAAGTATCGGCAAGTGGTGGCGGAGTCCACTACACATTTCTCTGCAGGAATAAAACAGTGTTTCCTTCTACAAGAGTAAAAATGACTTTAAGCCTCTGCCAAACTACAGAAACTCAAGTGGGACATGTTCCGTTGCCTCAAAGGGGAAAACTACCGACAAAGGTCAGGTCTCACCTGTCACATATAAAAAGAAGAATTTGAAGCAGCTGTTCCAGAGAGTTTAGACTTTCAGTCAATTTTTTTCTTTATGCTTTTGTGGAATCAGATTAAGAATAATTAAAGAGACTAAAACACCAAATTATTTTTAATGATTTCATTATTACCATATTGTAATTTATATTTTTGATGGTACAACAGGGTAAAATGCCTGTGAAACAAAATTGATAAATTCAGTCTACAGTGTTGTTAAAGTCTTTACCCCCCTTCCTGATTTCAGAGACTGCGTCTTCTTTTGGCGTTTACTGGGTGGCTGGCATCCTCGTTGATGCATTGCTGCATCTTCTATTTCAGTCCATTATTACACTCTTAAATCTTCTCATTCCTTCATCTTTCAGGATCTTGCAAAGCTTGAAACGACCCATTAACGACCTATTAAATTAGTCAGACGATTTTGATAGTCGACGTAATCGTGACTAGTCTACTGGTGGCAGCCCTATTAGTTAGAAAGCAAAAATGAGTGAATGTGGCCTGTTGTTTGTTTTTATTAAGGAGTTTTTTCATCATCTTTTTCTCTATTTCTCTCTTCAGAATTCCAACAGCTTCGTGTTTGTGGGAAAGAGGAGCCTCTGACAGAACAGCAGGTCTTTAACCAGGAGATGATCTCCAGTGTGGACCAGGAGGATCCAGAGCCTCCACAGATGAAAGAGAGACAGGAGGAGGAACTGCAGCAGCTGGGAGTGAAGCAGGAGGCTGACGGTGTCAGAACTGATGATGATTGGCTCAAACTGCTGGCGACCATCTGGAAACCCGAGATAAAGCTGCACAGAATAGGTTTGTAAAACTGGGATGATTCACAGGAAGAAATAAAGGTCAGAACTTTAACTAGAAAAATTTGCATTTCCTGCGAAAATGCAGTGTGGATGCTTTAAAGCTGAAGCTGTATGCAAAAACTAGCGGAAAAAGCTGAAAACTTGCAGAAATTGTTAAAACTTTGCAGAAGCAAAGGAACTTTGCTAAAATGGAATAACTTAGCAGAACTGCAATATCTTAGAGGAAACATAATACTTGGCAGAAATACAATAGCATAGCAGAACTTAGCAGAAATATTGTAACTTACCAGAAACATGATAACTTCTAAAAAATACAAGAATTTAGGAGAAATAGTATAAGATAACAGAAAGAATGTATTTAGCCAAAAATACTTAAACATTACAGAAACACTATGATTTACAAAAATAGTACAACAGAGCAGAAATATTGTGATTTACCAGAGACACTGTGATGAACTATGAATATTGTAATTTTAAATCAATACTATGTTTCAGCACAAATACTCTGGTTTAGCACAAATATTATAACATAGCAGAAATACAATTATATAGCAGAAATGCTATATTTAGAAAGAAAAATATAATATAGTAGAAATACTATGATTTAGCAGAAATACTACAATATAGCATAATAACAATGATTTAGAACAAATACTATGATTGAGCAGAATAGCAATAACTTAAGTGAAAATACTGGAAAAGTAAAATGACAAGATGAAAAAAAACAGAACATGGTTAAGTTCCCTCAAAACTAATTTTTGTTCACCTGTGAAAAAAAAAAAAAGAGCCTGGGAGCTGCTAAATTTGAATCCACAGAGGCTGTGTACTTTTTCCTGCCAAAACAGGTGCACACACACAGCACAGAGACAGGATTTTTGCAGTCTATTTCTCATAGTGAGGACTCCCCTCAAACAAATGACCACAATTTCCTAACTGTATTGGCCAGAACGGTCATTTTTACGCCGTTTTGTTCAGAAGAGATGGGGGAATCGTCAAGTGTTGACAATTTATCATTAAAATATGAATTTTTAGAGATATATGACATCGATGACTTGTTGGCTTAGAAGCCACAAAGGCCCCAATATGCAAATTTGAATGCCTCAGCCCACATATATGATTGGCTGGGAAGCCGTGCAGACCCTGATTTGTAAATTTGAATGTCTCAGTCCTCACAGAGGATTGGCTGCCTGGGGACCTGGCAGAAATATATAGAAATACTATGATTAAGCATAAATACTACATTTAGCAGAAATACTGTATTAAGCACAAATCCTATAAAAAGTAGAAATACTATATTAAGCAATATAAATATCCTATAAAAATCCTATAAAAAGCAAAAATACTGTACTATGATTTGGTAGAAAAACTATAATTAATCAGAAATACTATATTTAGCACAAATCTTATAAAACAGCAGAAATGCTATGATTTAGCGCAATAGTAATAAGTTAAACAGAAAAATTGGAAAAGCAAAATGGACAGCTGAAAAAATGCTGAACATGCTGAGGGTCCCTCAAATATACTTGTTAAATGAAAAAAAATCGGCAAAAAAAGCCATATAACAGCCACACAATCACAAATATGGACACATATGGAAACACACATGCACAGAGAGAGAGACACACAAGATCCAAGAATGGAATGTGCAGTTTTTTGCGCTATTGGGGGTCTGGGGTCCCAGAACCGGTCAGTATCTGGTGTGACCACCATTTGCCTCATGCAGTGCAACACATCGTCGCATGGAGTCTATCAGATTGTCAATTGTGGCCTGTGGAATGTTGGTCCACTCCACTTCAATGGCTGTGCGAGGTTGTTGGATATTCGTGGGAACTGGTACACGCTGTCGTATACGCCGGTCAAGCACATCCCGAACTTGCTCAATGGGTGACATGTCCGGTGAGTATGCTGGCCATGCAAGAACTGGGACATTCTCAGCTGCCATCTGCCCTGAACAATGTGAACCATGATTCATCCGTGAAGCGCACACCTCTCCAACGTGCCAGACGCCATCGAATGTGAGCATTTGCCCACACAAGTCTGTTACGGCGACGAGCTGGAGTCAGGTCAAGACCTGGTTGACATTCCTGCTGTCAGCATGCCAATTGCACGCTCCCTCATTGCTTGTGGCATCTGTGGCATTTTGCTGTGAGACAAAACTGCACATTCCAGGGTGGCCTTTTGTTGTGGGCAGTCTGAGGTACACCTGTGCACTACTCATGATGTCAGATCAGCATCCTGATGTGGCACACCTGTGAGGTGGGATGGATTATCTCAATATAGCAGATGTGCCCACTACCACACATTTGGACTGATTTGTGACCACTGTTTGGGAGGGATGGTTATATTGTGTATCTGGGATGAATTTTAGGTCTCTACGTCCATCCCATGGGGAATGGGAGCAGTAACAAAGGTGTTGCGTTTATATTTTTGTTGAGTGTATATAAAAAAAAATGTTTTCATTTGTCTCTTCAGACCTTCAACGACTAAATGTCTGTGAGGACGAGGTGGAGAAGGAGGAACCTCTCACAAACCAGGAAAACTATAACGAGGAGAGGAGCTCCAGTGTGGACCAGGAGGACCCAGACCCTCCACAGATTAATGAGGAACAGGAGGATCTCTGCAGCAGTCAGAAGGGAGAGCAGCTGGGAGTGAGGCAGGAGACTGATACCTTCATGGTGACTCCTGCTTATGAGGAAAGTGACCACAGTGAAGCAGAACCAAACAGTGAGCAAATCTCTCACAGCTCTGCTGAAGCAGAGAGCCAAGATCAGGAAGAAAGTCAGCATGTGGACTCGGGGTCATCTGAAAATGCAGAGGTGAAGACAATCAGACGTCGCAAAAAGAAAAGTGACAGTAATAAAGTGGAAAATCCTGCTCTGTCAGAGAGTCAGGGTCAAAGTGGGGCAAGAAAAAAGACTGAACAATGTGACATCTGTGGGAAAAGTTTTCAGTTTAAATCACGCCTGACTGCACACGTGAGACGTCACACAGGTGAGAAACCGTATTCTTGTAGCACCTGTGGAAAGGCGTTTCTGTTTAAATCCCAACTGAATATACATATGAGACGTCACACAGGTGAGAAGCCATATTCTTGTAGCACCTGTGGTAAAACGTTTGTCCTTAGATCCCTGCTAAATGCTCACGTAAGAGTTCACACAGGTGAGAAGGCATTTTTGTGTAGCACCTGTGGGAAAGCATTCACTTCCAACTCACAATTGACCACTCACACAAGAGTTCACACAGGTGAGAAGCCATATTCTTGTAGCACCTGTGGTAAAACCTTTAACTGTGCAACCTACCTGAAGAAACATGTCAGAGTTCACACAGGTGAGAAACCTTATCCTTGTAGCACCTGTGGGAAACAATTTAGTCAATGGATACACATGAATCGTCACATGAGGCGTCACACAGGTGAGAAGCCATATAGCTGCAGCACTTGTGGGAAAAGATTCCCTTACCAATCAGGATTGAAAGTTCACATGAATACACACAGGTGACACGGTTATGTGAAGGCTGCAGAATCTGTGGGAAAAGATTTTGTTAATGAGACACGTGATAATTTATGTTGCCTAAAAGTGTTATATTTAGAAAAGGTGGGACAGAGTCATAGCAGTGTGTAGAGCTCACACTGACCAGGAGTCAAATCCCTGCAACACCCGAGTGAAAAGATGACCGATATTCAAATTAGCATTTTCTGTCCAGAGTAGTAAAAACTCTCAACATTCTTTATAAAGTTCATTACGTTATTCTTATAGTTGTATCAGAGAAACCCTGATGTTACATTTAATGATGGTTAAAGTTCAGTGTGCTCCTTTTCTATAGAAAAGTACATTTTTACATTTAGAGAACATGCACCAGAAAAGTCATTCAATTTGTGTTTGGTTGTTTATTTGTGTGTTGTAACAATGCTTTTTGACAATAAATCCTATACCATTGCAAAGTCTATTTATTTCTCTTTAAATGGAAGCACATTTATAAGGAAAATTTTATTCATGGGTTGAGCAGCAGAGTTGAGAATGTAGATTGCATCCACGACAAACAGCTTATTCTGCTATTGTGTCATAATTTTTAGCTTCCAGAAGACCAGGTGCTGAAAATCAGGTGCCTGATCGGCTCCTGACTAGCAGAATCTGTTATAGCAGTTAGACAGATCTAGCAACTTCAACCTGTTATTCCACAAAACCAAGTTTCAGCATTATTTGCAGTGAGACAAAGTACTTTTTGTGCTTAGTTGATTTATTTCAGCAAGAAATATAAATTAATCAACTTGTACAGATACAGCAAAAACACTGAAGGGGTCCTCACCGATTACCGGCTGATGGGCCACCGTAATGATATCCATGTCTATGACAAGGAAGATGCAAGCATGACCAATGATGACGCTGAGAAAAAACAGTGGTAATGTCTTATGTATTCAGCAGGGGGAGCAGTGTTGACATTCATTTACAGGCTTGCAACATTATTTATTTATAATTGTTACATTTGTTCAGGAATCTCATTCTGACAGAATCATAACGTTGAGACTATTGAAGCCTCACAACAACAGTCCCCTCGTAGCACTTTACATTATAAGGCAAAGACCCTAAAATAAAACGGAGAAAGACTTTAATAATCAGATGAGCTGTTATGAAGAAAAGCTTTTGCAACAGTGGGAAGGAAAAACTCCCTTTTAACAGGAAGAAACATCGAGCAGAACCAGGCCTGGGGTGAGGCGGCCATCCTCGATCATATCAGGATAAACACACTCCGTAGAAGACAGCCAGAGATGAATAATAACTAATGATTAAATGCATAGAGATTCATAACCACATAGTGGGCGAATAGCGCTCAGTGCATCATGGGAATCCCCCACCAGCCTGCGCCTATTGAGGCATAACTAAAGGAGGATTCAGGGTCAGGAGCAGTTATGTACAGCTACTTTTAATACTACTGATATTTATTTAGACTCTTTCTCTCTGATTGATCTTTATGAGTTAACTTCAATAATTACTTCCTCCAAATCATCAATGTGTCTTTTAAGTCCCAAGGCTGCTTAAAGAAGTCGTAACATTAATGAATGATTCAGTTCTGCATATGATGAATCTGTCCCCGTTACTGGACTCACATGTCCTCAGCCAGAATCTCTGAACAGGTCTGCAGAACCAGATGGCATCCCTACAGTTCACAGCACAGTGTGTGCACTGTGCAGTGAGTTCGTATGTTTGAGTGTTTGGAACATCCTTTGTCCAGTCCCCAAACCTTTGATTCAGAAAACTGATCAGAGGTTCGCACAAACTCTATTCAACCCCCCCCCCCCCCCCCCCCCCAAATTGTGCTCCAGTCAAATTTGATTGATTTAAAGGTTTTATCTCTGAAATAACTCTCTGGATAACTGTTTTTGTCATGTAATTGACACCTGAAAGCTAAGCTTCTGCTCGTCTAGCTCTTAGGGTCACTGAGGCACACAACTGACCACATAAAGCTGGAACTCTCTTAGGGGAAAAATTGAAAAATTAAAGAACAAACAAATAAAATAAAATATTGCTCATCAGATTATAACAGCTAAAAACATGAAATTTGCATTAATTGGATGACCTTTATCAAATATATTTGAAGACAACAATAACACCTCTCACTGTTTTGTCATGAAAGACGCAATGTGGCAAAATGTTGTAATAAAACTATTACAACAACTAACATCTGAGTAGAAAAGGGTTTTTTTTAACTGTAAAAAACATATTTTACAAATTATTTTCATAACTTTTCTTAATGCACGCTCAATCACCCAGGTAAATAAAACCCAAAAGTCTTGATCAAAGACCACTGATCGATCGTTTTTGATTGATGGCTGTGACAATTTGAATATTAATGATCACAAAGCTGAGGTTACAGCCTATTGTTAGTCTGTGGGTGGGTTTTAGTTATTGTGCAAATGTACTGTTTATAAGATTTAGGGAAACCTCCAGTCAGTTGATACTGAAGAAGTCACTTGGATGAGTGACGAAACATTTCTCTGACTAAAAATGCTACGTCCAGATGAACAGATCCAACCTTTTTGTAATTTTCTGAACTGAATGACCGAGTTTTTATCGAGGTATTCTTCTGTTTTAATTGCACGTGATTCACAATGAAATGCTTTGCTTACTTTGCAACAAAAACAACACTATCAAAGCTGCCCAAAGAGGCTATTCATACAATGAATTATATAATGTACTTTGTTCATGCCTCTATACTGTAAATTATCCACCAAAGCAGAAAAAAGCAACATCATGTTTTCATGCTCCTGCAGCACATTGATGCTAAACGTTCTCAAACAGCTGATTTCATGCACTGACCTGTGCAAGTGAAATGAGATAAACGCTGTTAATCAATAACTTTTGTAGCTTCTGGCAGTCTGAACTTTGGAATAAAACACTCTGAGTTGTAAGGGCTGTAACAACAACACTGGAATCACACTCACATTTGGTCCAAACTAGCAGCTTCCTCTGAGTGAGTCCAGCTACAGGAGAGAAAAGTGGGAAAACTCCAACACTGCTGCTTCAAGCTGCTGACGCTCCACACACTGAATGTGAGTTTGAGCAAAAACACGACTCAAAGGAAGTTTCAATGAAGGTGGTAGAGGAGGGAGGGGAGCCAGGACTGACTGTACTTCCTGTCTGCTGTTTTCAGCTTCACTCACAGACTCAATGGCTTCCAGATCAGAGGAGGATCTCTGCTGTCCGGTCTGTCAGGAGGTCTTCAGAGAGCAGAGCAGAGTGCCAGTGTGTCACATCTGCAGAGACTCAGAAAAACACACCAATCACAGATTCAGACCCATCGATGAAGCTGCACAACAACACAAGAAGGAACTTCAGGAAACTCTGGAGCCCTTAAAGAAGAAGTTAAAGGTTTGCAAACGAGTTCAAGTGAAGTTTGATCAAACAGCAGAACACATTAAGGTCCAGGCCCGACACACAGAGAGGCAGATTAAGGAGCAGTTTAAGAAGCTTCACCAGTTTCTAGCAGAGGAAGAGAAGGCCAGGCTGGCTGCACTGAGGGAGGAAGAGGAGCAGAAGAGTGGGATGATGAAGGAGAAGATGGAGGCTCTGAGCAGAGAGATAGCAGCTCTTTCAGACACAGTCAGAGCCACAGAGGAGGAGCTGAGAGCTGAAGACGTCTCATTCCTGCACAACTACAAGGCTGCAGTGGAAAGAGTCCAGCGCTGCCCCCTGCTGGATGATCCACAGCTGCCCTCAGGAGCTCTGATAGACCAGGCCAAACACCTGGGCAACCTGACCTTCAACATCTGGAACAACATGAAGGACATGGTCTCCTACACTCCTCTCATTCTGGACCCAAACACTGCTCATCCAGAACTCATCCTGTCTGAAGATCTGACCAGTGTGAGACGAGGAGGAGAGAAGCAGCTTCCTGATAATCCAGAGAGGTTTGATTATTACAGCTCTGTCCTGGGCTCTGAGGGCTTTAACTCAGGGACTCACAGCTGGGATGTTGATGTTGGAGACAGTACAGGGTGGAGACTGGGTGTGTCAGCAGAGTCTGTGCAGAGGAAACAAAGCATACTGTCTGGATTATGGATAATATGGTTTGGGGAAGATAAATACTCAGCATGGTCTCCATTAGCAGGATCCACTGCTCTCGCAGCACAGATGATCCAGAGGATCAGAGTGAATCTGGACTGGAACAGAGGAAAGCTGTCGTTCTCTGATCCTGATACTAACACACACATACACACCTTCACACACACTTTCACTGACAGGATGTTCCCATACATTAGCACTGATGTTGAAGTGAAAGTGTTGACGTTGAAGGTGTCAGTGTCAGTGGAGCAGATGAGTTGAGAATGATGATATTTCTGTTTTTCCTTTTTTTCCTTTTAAAAATCCAGTTCTGTCTGTCAGCCTTTGCAATCAGAATTATGATCTGAATGCACTGTTGTGCCAAACACATTTTGCTTTTCCAAATCAGCTCTGTATATTCTCTATGGGCTCCCCTTTTTTAAGGTTTAACTGTTTATTTCGTCTATCCATGCTATTTTGGTTATTACAATATATGTTGTATAGAGTATGATCCTGTCTACGGCAGGGCAAGAAGGAAAAAGGGAAGAGGCCCTAGATGGCCAAAGGGTGACAGCCCTAGAGGGCCAGTCGATGAGCAGTAGATCCCACTATAGGTGAGAGCCGAGACCAGGGTCCCAGTGCTCCATGTGCTGAAGAACTGCCCAGTACACAAGACAGTTACCTCCTGACATGGAAGAGCTCAAAGCCACCCCTGGCCACCAAGGAAGCCGGTGAACTACCACACCACAATGTCCAACCACCGGCCCTGGAACCAACAAGTAAAAATGCCCAAGGCGAAGCGGTCAAAAGTCTGGCTGTACTTCACAGCAAAAGATGCAAACTCAGCAGCCTGCAACAAGTGCTTTAAGCTGATACTGTGATACTGTGCAAAGGAGGTGACACCTTGAATCTGATGACGAACCTGGCGATGTATAGTGCTTTTTTTTTTAAAGCCGAGAAAAGCACGATATTTGATAGCTTGCTGCGAGACCTCACACATCTGCTGCGGGTGGGTTGCCTGTTATCAGACCCGGAGTTAGCAACATCCCCCAAAACCCCGAAGAGGAGAGTCCTGACCCCTAGCCCTGCCAGTGTAGCAGAAATGATGACGGATGATGATGCAGCAGCAGCCTTCTTCTCTGCGTGAGTAGCTTAATGTTGTTCGTGTGTAATTTACGTTGAGTACGCTAACCACGTTATTACATTAATGCACGTAAGGTGAACTAGCAAACACCGTCGTAGTTACATGCGGCTGTCTTCTTGTTTGATGGCAGATACTCTCTTCACCCTGGCCAAAAAGGCTAAAATGACCAAAGAAAAAGTGGAAAACGGCTAAACATGAGAGGTTTTAGGACAAAGTTTGTGTTTTTTCCATTCTTTAAGCACTGCTTCCAGCC